GCAATTATTTAACTGCTAATCAGACACCGCTGTCAGTTGTACTTCTGAAAATTTCAGTCTTTCTCCTGAATTCTCATCTGATAAAAAATGGTGACAATTTCAGTCATAGATACTATCATATAGTGTTACCAACTCTTCTATAACATAAAGCATAATATTAACAACAAAGCCAAGAATATTAAATGTGTAGAAGCATAATCTAGTATAATTAACTTCAAATGGAAAGAATATTATTTCGCATCTATAATTTGCGATGTAGAAGTGAGTACTGTAAAATCCATATATTTTTTCTATCACACATGGCCTCTATGCTGGAGGCAGAGTTGTCAAACCTGACAGTTGGCATTACAATAGATAAATAGAAAGAAATTTGCTTATAGAATTTTTTATTGAAGGATTCATAGTAGAAGACCTTGAGAAATTTTTATTGAAGGATTCTGTTGAAAAATGTTTTGTACTTGGAAAAACAATTTAAACAAATCAGTCATTTCTAAGGCTTTGAAACAGCAGAAAAAGGCAGAAAAATAACTTATATCTAGTCATTAACTAGAAATAAGCCATCAACCAATTCATTGTATTCCTCAGCATATACTTCTGAAGCCATGAACTCTGGTGTCCCTAATTAACCTCAAAAAATAGATAAAAACTAACTCAATGATTTCCCTTAATTATGTCAATCAACCAATCACTCACACAGAAAGTTACATATCATCACAAAGTCATGTTACAACAGATACGTACTGTTTCATGGTACGTACACTATGAGTTTGTGGTAGTGAATACGAGATTATGTCGGATTAACAATAAAGTTCGAATTAGAAGTAATGAAAGCACTTTTAAAACAAAATAACAAATTTTCAATCATATAGCCACTATTGTATTGGGTCCATTCAACATTGGAAATGCAACAAATTTTCAATTCATAAACCAATAACAATCTGTAGCAATTTTCCAGTATTGATCACAGGGTTCAGAATTTCACCAATATAACAAATTTTCAATTCATAAACCAATAACAATCTGTAGCAATTTTCCAGTATTGATCACAGGGTTCAGAATTTCACCAATATAACAAATTTTCAATTCATAAACCAATAACAATCTGTAGCAATTTTCCAGTATTGATCACAGGGTTCAGAATTTCACCAATATAACAAATTTTCAATTCATAAACCAATAACAATCTGTAGCAATTTTCCAGTATTGATCACAGGGTTCAGAATTTCACCAATATAACAAATTTTCAATTCATAAACCAATAACAATCTGTAGCAATTTTCCAGTATTGATCACAGGGTTCAGAATTTCACCAATATAACAAATTTTCAATTCATAAACCAATAACAATCTGTAGCAATTTTCCAGTATTGATCACAGGGTTCAGAATTTCACCAATATAACAAATTTTCAATTCATAAACCAATAACAATCTGTAGCAATTTTCCAGTATTGATCACAGGGTTCAGAATTTCACCAATATAACAAATTTTCAATTCATAAACCAATAACAATCTGTAGCAATTTTCCAGTATTGATCACAAGGTTCAGAATTTCACCAATATAACGATAAACAACAATTCCATTTCTACCCATCAAATCCTAGACCGTAAAAGGAAAATAGAAACTAAGCTCTAGCTTTGCCAATGGCTGACTAATTGCAAGCATGAACAATCTCTTGTGGTATATATATACACAGTAATGTTACAGTGACCTACTAAATTTTGAATACCATATATGGTATGTCCATCAAATTACTACCTTGTTGACCCATCATGGGTACCCAAATTTACCCCAAAAACTATCCAAAAAATGAAATGTGTGGACTAGATTTATTCTTAGCCTGACCCATACCACACTAAGTTTGAATTGACACCATACACTTCATTTCTAAGTGCTGACCCAAATTTCGTCCCCATAGCATAATTGATGATTTTTTGAGAGGTAATCTCTATCAGCAAGTAATATATATATACACATATTAGCTAAAAAAAGAAAGGTGCCAAACTACTTTATCAAGGGTGATCATTAATTTTGTACTTTACACCCAAAATACCTCTAAAAAATGCACCAATAGGCATTATGATATTGCTTCATATTGATTACCAAGTATTTAAAACTGATGATTGTCACTTTCACCATTGGCACTGTTAATTCCACATTTTAGGCAACAAACTAGTTGAAGCAAAATTCAACGCCAGCACACAATAAATGAAACCCCAAGCCCTAAACATCTTGGAAAATTAGCTTTGAAGATTAACCATATGGCGCATGATAGCAAGAATAATATATGGTAGTGTGTGTGTGTGTGTGTGTGTGTGTGTGTGTGTACATGTATGTCTATATATATAACAGCAAACCTGTTCGCTGTGGCCTTGTGGGAAGTAGACGACATGGGTCCCAACGGCCAGCAAGTTCACCAGAGGACCGGCGCATGCTTGCCATAGCTCCGGGTTTATGCTCTTCTTCTCTCCTAATCCCACAACCAAATAACACGTGTCAGTCACTCATTGTTTGGTTTCCGCGAGAATAAAGGAAAAATGGAAAGAAAGAAAAAAGAAAAAACTTTGGAATATTTACAACTGACATTCCAACCTCAAACCAATCTGGACAAGATCTATTCTCATTCTTTCCATTGTGTTTGATGAAAAACGAAGAGCTAAAATTAAAAAATCAGAAAGAAATGATCAAATAGAAAGAGAAATGGATATAGAAGAAGAAGAAGAAACAGGATCATCAAAAAGTGATTATTTTCCTCATAGCAAGGATGAATTATCACTTAGAATTTCACACAAGGTTATAACTTATAATAGACCATAATGCTGGAACAATAGTCACATTTTGGATTTATTCCAATTCAGATTAATAGTCCTTTCCATCAACATAATATACCTTATGGTGATACATATCATCACCTAAGAATAGCATATAGCAATTATACAAATAAAAATTTCACTGGAAGTACCAGTCAAAATGCACAGGTTTGGAGTTCATGTGCATGTGCCTATGAATTGTACAACATTCGTGCACCGAATTTTCCTGCAAGAACCAAAATAAGTTGTAAAAAAAGAAGAACAGGCAGAATTTTCTTAATGTCAGCTTCTTCCAACCAGAACAATCTCCATGAAAGTAGGAACAATTTTAGCCATACAAACCCAAAACTTCAAATCTATCTCAGGTTGTCTAGAAAATCACGACATTTCAGTCCAGATTGAAGGCATGCCAAAAAACAGTAAGCGGCCTCTTCAGCTGGACCCAGATGAACTTTATACATAATTGATTAAATAATTGAATACCCCTGCAACAAAGAAGCCAAAAAAATTTGAAAAAATTGACCTGGACAATGAAGAATCTAGCGAAGTGACTGCCTCTATGCAATCCTCAGGAAGATATACTGGAAAAATTTTACTACATTCCGGCACAACCTCTAGAAGCATAAAAGAGCACTCCTTTCACTATCAATTTTAGAAAAGGATGAACTAACTCGTGCCAGATAAAAATAAAAATAAAAATAAATAGTGCCTGCCACACCTACAAGGGTTTAATCTAACAGACCTCATAATGAACACTTCCTGGGCAAACTCTCTCAGCATGTCTTTATTCACAAGATCAGGCTTGAGGACTTTGATAGCCACCTCCTGACTGCAGTATGTGCCTTTATACCTGAAAAAGACAAATGATATGATATACTGACAGCTCAAACACAATCAGAAATAGGTTGAGAGTGACAAAACTCACAGATCACCAAACTCACAAGATCAGGCTTGAGGACTTATTTTTTTTAAATGCAAATTTAATTAAATATAAAAAAATAAATCATATTAAAATAATTTAAATTCAAACTCTGATTACTATGTTTATTTTCTTTTGATTAGTTTTAATTCAAATAATTTTATATTAGACAATTGGCATGTTCAACAAATTCTAAAATTACTATGTCCCTTTCACTCCTCCATAATTATGTGAATCATAATCACCATAATTCTCCAGGTTTCAGAAATTCAAGTAAAATGCAGAGGGGGAAAAAAATCACAACCACCAAAAAGAAAATCTAGTGATTGCTTTGATCAAAACGAAATCACACACATATTTTATACATTACATAATTCATAAATAGACAAATTAAATTGTATGTATATATGCAGATCTTAAAAGCAAAGAAAGAAAAAATCAAATAGAGACAAACTAAAGTGAATCATCGATCATCACCTAATAGTGATTTGAGCATAACAATAAGTAAAACTAGAAACGAAGAAGATAATGATTTAAGCAAAAAGTGAAAACAGAGCACAGAAGAAGAGATTCACGGAGCTGAAGAAACATCTAAGAAGACGAAGATTACCAAACAGAGCACAGAAGAAACATCTAACCTCTGATCGAAGAAGACAAAGATCACGGATCTGAAGAAGAGTTCCAAATCACGGTGCTCAAAATCGAACTTCAAAATCGCAATCGCTCTGTGCTCAAGAAGAAAAATCACCGAGTTGAAGAAGAATCACCGAATCGAGAGAGAGAACTTCATATTGATTCGATCCTCTGAGAGAGAGAGAGAGAGAGAGAGAGAGAGTGAGGAAGAGATTCGAACTTCATATGTAGACGGCGGTGCTCAAAATAGGGTTTTGAAGATAAAGGTTTGGAGAGACAGAATAGGGCTTGAGGAGAGACAGGATTTGGAGGCGCTTTTCAAACATCTTCTGATCACAAAACGGCACCGTTTTAATAATAACAATTGTGACGTTTAAAAAATGCCGTTAATTTTAAAAAAAGTGACGTTTAATAAAACGCCGTTAATTAAATGCCGTTAAATCTCCAAATTCCTGTAGTGAGGCAACCTTCCCGACTTGTACACAGACAGTTGTTACGTGTGGCAATTCAATTTCCGAGACTTCGACATCGAGTCCGATGATCTTCGTTACGCGGATTCGATCAAGCTGTTAAAGCGGCAAGGAATTGATTTCAAGAAAAACAGAGAAGAGGGAATCGATTCGAGAGAGTTTGCGAATATGCTTTTGTGGTCGGGACTGGTTTACAAAAGGCCGTCGAAGAGATGGGTGACTTTTCACTGTGGATATGATTTCGGGTTTTTGATAAAGATGTTGACGCACAGAGAGTTGCCTGAGAACCTCGAAACTTTCATGGCTATGGTGCATTTTTACTTTGGTGGGAATGTGTATGATATAAAGCACTTGATGAGGGATTGCAATGGATTGAACGGTGGATTGGAGAGAGTGGCTAAGGCACTCGGTGTTGATCGTGCGGCTGGGAAAAGCCATCAAGCTGGATCAGATAGCTTGCTCACCATGGAAACATTCTTGAAGCTTCTGAAGATGGTAGACACGTCCTTCATTAATCGACTAATCCAAGAAGAAGAAGAAGAAGAAGAAGGAGTCGGTGGATCTGATTGTCGATTTCGCTCTGTATTGTATGGATTGGAGACTAATTTCAAGTATACCTATTTCGAGTATACTTCTTTTAACTTGGTACCAAAGCAAATTTGTTATGTTCTTGTACCAAGTTATTAAAATTTTATTTGATCAATTAAATGTAGGTTGTGTTAGGAATATTATATGAATATTAATGATTTGTTATGATTCAATTAAATAATTTAGGTATGCTTTGTGATTGGCTCGATGTATCAATCATAGAGATATATGAATTATGTATATAAAATATAATTTTAGGTTCCAGGAAAGAAAATTATAAAACAAGCATACAACTTATAATTGTTTAAATTCATTACTTTAGAAATATTCTATAAGAATGAAAGTTTTGTCTAAAATTCATTAACAAGCGTTTTTGAATTGTTTAGATACTAACAAAGTGATCCTGGAAAAAATGAAAAAGTGAGGGTTGTATACGTTATAATTTAACTATTAATTAAGTTATATTATGATAAAAAAAATTAATTCATTAACAAGCGTTTTTGAATTGTTTAGATACTAACAAAGTGATCCTGGAAAAAATGAAAAAGTGAGGGTTGTATACGTTGTAATTTAACTATTAATTAAAGTTATATTATCATAAAAAAAAATTAAAAAAAAATTGTTTGAATAGAATTTAATGAAACCGGTTCATTTTCAGCCCAACATTTCCAAGGCGAGGCTGACGGCCCCCAGCTATGGGCTGGGTCGGCTTTCTTCGAAAGTGATTCCAGCCTACCAGTTGTTTCTATTATGTCTTTGTTTGAGTTTTTTAAATTAAACTTTTTTTTTAACGTTAAATTTTTTATTTTTTATTTGTTTTTGTTTTTAGTGAGTATTTTTAAAATTTGTTTTTGTTTTTAGTGAGTATTTTTAAAATTTGAAGTATTTTTTTTTTAATTTTTTTGATGCACCATTAGATGTATCTAAAAAGTAAAAAATTTGTGAAAAAATATTTTTAAAAATTAATAAATATATAAAAATAAAAAAATATACTGAATTCTCATTTATTTTTTTTTGTATTTTTAGTGTTTAGTGAATTTTTAAAAGATTTTTTTCACAAAAATTATACTTTTTGTGTGTATTTATGTTAGGTGTATCCAAAAAATAAAAAATTTCTTAAAATATTTAAAAAATTTAGTAAAAACAAAAAAACACGAAAAATAAGAAAGTAAAATTTTCTAAAAAGTGTTTTTGGAAAACCAAAAACAAGCAAAGTGACTCCATTATTTTTTTATTATTTTTGTCTTCTTTGATTTTTTATAAAAAAATATCTAATATGCTTTGTCGAACTGAATCTAAAAGTCTATTAAAAACGAAAACCAAAAACAAGCAATTTTTTTTTTTAAATTAAGAAATTTTTTTTATTAAAAATGAAAATAAGCCAATTTTTTTTTTTAAAAAAATAAACAAATCCCAAATCATCCCGATGCATTTCACAGCCAATTAATAATTTAATCAATTTAAACTTCAAATTTCTCAAAGGAGATGGAAGTTAAGAGTTAAAGCTTTGTTTGATTGTGATCCAATATAATTGACATAGATGTGATGGGTATCACAACACTTATTTTATTTTCCTTTTAAAATGTGAGCAATATCTAGGGCATATTTGATTCATTGGTTGTGTATTTGCTTTCTATTTTTTGTTTTCATTTATTTAAATATATATATATATATATATATGTATAAATTGATTGACAAATCATTACTGGAAACATTTTGGGAATATTTTACAAACCAACTTTTAGAAAAAAAACAAAAAATATTTTTAATTTTTTTAAAAGTTATTTTAGCACATAAATAAAAATTAAATACAAATAATGAATGTTTTTATTATTATTTTTAAAAAAATTAAAAAGAAAGAAAATAAAAAATACAACCGAAGTTGTTTTAGGGTTTTGGTTTTGTAAGAGCATCTCCAATGGTTTGCCATTGGAACTGCCATTGCTATAATATAGCAGTAGTGTTGAAAAATGATACTCCAATGGTTGAATATAGCAGCTACCAAATTTGAGAAATGCCAAAACTTGTGTCAAATTTCACACAAGTTTTGGCAGTTGCCATTTGTGCCAACTCAGCCAAAACCAACTGTTTTCCTCCCTCCTTCCCTCTCAGGGATTGTTTCACCATTTTTTTTAAATAAGAATTCACCAAAAAAAAATTTCAATAATTTTTTTTTTAATTTACTCAAAATCAGGAAAGATTTTTTTACAGAATTAACAAAATCAACAATAATCAATAAATCACTCTCAAACAAATCAATAACTCTCAACAAAATCAACAGCACCTACGAACAAGAAAAATGATTTATAGAAAAGGTACCTGAATCCATGGACTTTATCTCATCCAAGAATATGAATCCATGAATCCATAGAAAAGGTGATTTATAGACAAGGTGATCCACGAATCCTGAATCCATGATTCCATGAATCCATGAACAAGAAAAGTGAATTATAGAAAAGGTACCAGAATCCATGAATCCATAGGAAAGGCACCTGAATCCATGGACTTCATCACTGTCAAACATGAAAAGTGAAGAAAAGGTACCTGAATCGGCGATCGTCCATCTTCTCAAACACCGCCATTGAAGACTACCAACCCTCCCTCCGATTTGTGGCCAAGAAGTTCCTCTCTCATCCCTAAACACCTCTTTGAAACCCCCAAACTCAACCCCCAATTAGCTCTCTAATTCGAAGATAGGGAGAAGAGAGATAGGGTTTGTAAAAGGAAGAGATATAGAAAAGAAAAGAGATAGAGTGATAGGGTGTAATCAGAATGAGGAAAAGGAAATGAGAGAGCAGTGTCTTGGAAAAGGAAATAGGGTTTAATCTCAGTCGTTGGATCTATATAATCTAATAGTAGGGGTAGTGCCTTGGAATGTGTAACATGAGCCAACAGCTCTATTTCAATCTGGAAGTAAAAAAACGACCATTTTTCCAAACAGACAACACACCAACAGCTATAAATTAAACAACTAAAAAAAGGGTAATATTTTTATAATAGTATACATACACATACCTTGTTTCACCAATTTGAGTTCATAGCAACTATTTTTCTTTCAATTATAGTTTTCTTTTTAATTTTTCATACAATTAGTATGAAAGGTTCATAAAAAATAAAGAGAGAAAAATCATTCACTACTCAAGAAGATGTGGTAATTTGTAGAGCTTGGTGTCACATTACTGAAGACCCAATTGTTGGAAGTTAGCAATCACATGCTCATTTTTGGGAAAGAAGTTTTGAAAATTATTACTCGCTACAAAATGATCACTCAAGAATTTAAGTGTCTATCTTATCTTGATGGGGTATAATCATGAAATGTTGCAATAAATTTTGTGGGTGTTTAGCGCAAGTCGAAAATCTACATCCAAGTGGGATGTCACAAGTTTATATAGTAAGATTTCATTTTCATTTATTATGTTATTTTTTTTTTATATTTTGTCTTATATAAAAATTAACTAATTAATTAATTAATATTTTATTGATATAAATACTTCAAGCAAAACTGTTATACCATCAACATGAAAACAGACATTTTGTTTTTGAACATCATTGGCCAATCTTGCAAAACAATATCAAGTGGCAAGATGTAGATCTTACGAACACACTAAAGTCAAGGATACATACACCATTTTTCCCTAATTCAGCCCCCGATTCTCCTATGGATAATTGTATTTCTCTTGAAGATGACACCAGCCCAAGTGTTGGTAACAATCCAACTGTTAGTTAGGGCAATGTCTCTATAATGGGTAAAAAGGTTATAGGTAGAAAAGCTGCAAAAGAATTATTTCGGAGAAATCAAGTCGTTGAAGCTAAAGCCTAAAAAATGAGCATACAATTGGAGACATTTAACCAATAACTTACTGAGAAGGAAAATAAAAAAAGATGAAAGAGAAGAAAAAAGGATTCAAGCACCACAGGAGCTGAAAGAACTTGAGATGAAAAAACATGATTTTGAGTTCAGAAGACAAGAACATGAGATGAAAAAGGAAGAACATATGCTAATGACTGCAGACATTTCTCATTTGGACCTTGTAGCACGCGCCTGCGAGGGACCCCGCTACTACAGTTCGGACTCGATTTTGTTTGCGGTCCTTAATCTGAACCAAAGAGGCCAAATCTGGCAAATCGTTTTGAAAAAACAGATTTTAGGAAAGAAATGCCAAACATGGACTGCTTTGCCAGATACAGAGTCGCCACCTAAATTTTTTTATGGGGGAATTTAGGAAACCCTGACTCGGTGCCGAAGGCCACATGTCCGTCATCACCGGAGTTGTCTCGGCTCGGGAGCTAGGGTACGATTGGGGAAGGTCAGCTATGAGCACCTCCTCTCGCCCGATCCGAAGATCGGCCTCTACTAATCGTGATATCCGTTTTTGAAAATATTATGTGTTCTTATTCCTTTTTATTAGCTTTGAATTACTATGTTATGCGCGCAGCAAACAAGTATAGACTAGATTGCCTAATTTGGAAAAAAGCATTGCATGTCCGTTTGTTTTGGAGAAATGTTTTGGAATTTGCTACTCGCAAGTAGGCTAAAATACGGATTTTAATGAGCTATTCCAACTCAGGCAACCCAACCTTCACCCACAGGCATTCAAACAGTTTATCACATAAGCATCTAGCCGCATGGCAAACATACTATCATGGCAACACTCACACGCATGCGGTATGCTAAAGCATAAATACTTACATCGTACTCCGTGCCAAAACAACAAACTAGTTAGCAAACATGCATGTCCTGGTTCATGTCAAGTTGACTAGTGCAACGCATACAAGATGCAATTAGAGTAGGCTCGGCTAACCTAAACATGGCATGTGAAATGCAACCAATTGATGCACGTATTCAATTTGGAATTTGAAATACGAATGCAGTTAGCATGATGTACCGAGCCTGGTGCATACAGGACAAATGTATGAATGCACGCATGCATTGCATAAGGTATGCTAATTTTAAAATATGCCATAGTCTACCATCATAAGCAGATAAATAAAAGGGAAGAAAGACGTGGGATTGGAAGACATACACCCCACTCACACACACTTATTACAGATTTGCCCTCGCTCGGAGGGTACAAATAAATATTACAGTCCAAATGACA